ACCTTGGGCAAATTCAAGAGGAGGTTGGATGATCACCTGTCTGGGGTCTTGTGAAACCAGCATTCATTCCTGCCTGTGGCAGGGGGTCAGGCTAGATGATCTGTTCAGGTCCCTTCTGACCCTAGCTACTATGAACTGGACTTACATAGTCTGGAGAAGAGAAGGGTGAGAAGGGATTTAATAGAAGCCTTCAATTACCTGACAGGTGGTTCCAAAGAGGATGGTGCTAGATTGTGGTGGCAGGTAATAGAACAAGGAGCAATGGTCTCAAATTGCAGCAAGGGAAGTTTAGGTTAGAAATTGGGAAGAACTTTCTCACTAAGACGGTAGTAAAATACTGGAACATGTTACCTAGAGAAGTGGCAGAAGCTCCATCCTTGGAGGTTTTCAAAACCCAGCTAGACAAAGCTTTGACTGGGATGATATAGTTGGGGCTGGTCCTCCTTTGAGCAGGGAGTTGGACTAGATGACCTCCTCAGGTCCCTTCAAACCCTAATTTTCCACAACTCAGATTGTACAGTGTACTGTATATTCTGATAATGGTGTAAAACCAGGCTTCCAAAAGATAACTAAATAAAAAAACATCTAAGGACAAAAGCAAAAGTGAACTTTGAGATTTATCTCCACGGGGACATTTGTGGAAAACTAATCTGGATTAACTGTAAGGTGTGAATTAACGTATTTACTCAATTTATAAAATGGCTCTTTTCCTCCATTCAGCATAGGGAAAATCAGGCCTCATCATTTGATCCCGTACAATTTTACCTGAAATCAGCAAATTCACAGGGGATGGCAAGGTTAGTGAGAAGGGAGCATGGCCAGGCACCTAGCACATGGCTGGCCGGCCAGCCAGCAGCAGTTGCCTGGGCTCCCCTCAGTGTCCAGGGCTCCTGAGTGGCCAGTGTAGGGTCACTCCAAGCTGCTGCCTGTCAGCATATTCATTTGCTGAGTTGCTTTGGCACCTACTGGCCAGAAGTCCCATGTGTGGCTTGAAATGATCTGGCATGTGCCAGCTAGGCACCGTCCCCTCAGCGTATGGGATTTATGGCCAGCACATGCTGATTTTTCTTGAGCTGCTGCTCAAGTAGCAGGTACTGGAGTAACCTGGCGCACAGAAAGGGACCCAGCCAGGCTGCCAGCATGTGATGAGTTACTTCAGCATCTGCTACTGGGGCAGCAGCTTGGAGCAACTCAGCATGTGCTCCAAGCTTGGAGCAACTCGGTATGTGACTGCAGGGATGGTGCCTATCCGATGGTGCCTACTGAGTCATTTTGAGCTGCACATAGGGTTTCCAGCCAGAGGGTACTAAAGCAAGTTGGCACACACTGACACACAGCAGCTTGAAGTGATCCTGTACCGTCTGGCCAAGAACGCTGCACACAGCTTGAAATGTCCTGGCAGGCACCAGCCAGGTACTGTTCCTGCAGCATCAATTCTGGATAAACTATGGGTACTATATGAAAATTGCTGCAGCCATGTTTGATTTCAAGGTTATTGTTTTCAAGTTTGCTTCCCACTTCTACACGCTCAGGGAGAGCAGGTTCTGGCAGTGAGGAGAGGGGGAAGGGGCTGCTAGGGAAAAAAGTTGTGGGGGAACCAGGGAGCAGAGAGCTACCTGACCCCTAGATTTATTTTCCCTGCTGTAGCAGTGGGGGAGGGACAAATTCAAGACAGATGGCTAATAATTAGATTCTATACCTGGATATTATAACAATTTTTTTCATATAGTGGGGGTTTTCAACCTTTTTGCATCATTGTACCCCCTGGCGGCCAGATGCAGAGCTGTGTACCCCTGGCTGCCGAGCTGGGGGTGGGTGGGGAGCAGTGGGAGTGCTGAGTAGCTGGATGCTGAGGGGCTGCAGCCTCCACATGCAAGCTTCCCCATACCCCTGCGCCTGGCTGGGCTGGTGACGCCTGCGCAGCAGTGCGGGATGCTGTGTAGTGGTGCTCCATCCCTGCCCGTGTGCATGTACCCACTAGGGCCATCTCGGGTACCCTCAGGGGTCGTGTACCTCCAGTTGACACCCCCTGATATGTAGAATCTAATTATTGGGAAGCTGTCTTATCAGGGTCATCTTCTACTCTGCATAAATACAGTAACTGAACGATTTCAGATCCCTGTATGTAAAACATACCAACTTTTCTGAGTGTCCCACCATAGCAAGGCCTATTTTGCTGTATCTTAACAGAACTAATAACTTCAGTGCAATGAACATCTGTAATGGATCTCAAAGATATTTGTAGCTTGTGGCTGTTCTTGGTACACAGTTATGAAAAAGCTGGTGAAGAACCTTGACTTTTATTTTCCCTGGCAGTAAAATCCTCTAACATACCAAGGTTCCTTTTCTTTTCTTCTAAGCCTGCCTGGTGGTTCAGTGCATTCCTCCTGACAACCAGTAGTTGTAAAGTGTCTTTTTTTTAATGTCTTTTGTGTACTTCTTAGAAGTGCTGCTTTCATAGCCCAGCAAGCAGCAAACTTGCATCCATGAAACAGGTCAGCCTGTGTGGTGACTGACAGTGAAAGCTGATTGTCAGTAGACGCAGTTGTCAAGTTTGAGATGAGGCACCATGTCCAAAGTAGAGAGGGTCAAAGGGTCATTCATTCTCTATGATCACAGAGTCGTTGGTGCTTCTTCAGAGACAATCGTTAGTGAAGTCACTGAACAGTCAAGCTATGTTTTGCCAAGACTATAATAAGTTTTCAGAACTGGATATAGATTTCAAGGCTTGTAATCCGACTGAACAGGAATAAAGCACCAGGATTATTGTAAATGACTGCACAGACCTGCTGTGTCTGAGCACTTGAGAGCAAATCTAAGTTTGGAGGGAAACGCAGGTGGTTCATGTTCAGTAACAATGTTCCTAGAAGTCACCAACCTATGAGCTGTTCCATAACTGTGTTTTCTGATCCTGGTGTAAAGCCAGTACTGTATGTTCTTCCACCATTGATAGTGAAATTAACAAAGGAAATGCTTCTTTTGATGCAAGTGTTTAGATCTGTTCTAGCTTGAAATATATAATTAAAAAGAGCCTATATAAGTATACTGGGTGCAAGGGTGATATTTTGTAAAAGCAAACTTTAATTAATGCAGTGTCAAAACCAAAAATTTCCTACTGTGAACAAGAGGTTTTTGAAATATTTGTGGAAAGAATTAAAATATTGAATGGTATAAAACTTAACTTTTTGTGTGTGTATTTTTTTTTTTCTTTAGGGTCCTGTGCTAATAGGAAGTTCTCAGGGTGGTGTTAATATTGAAGATGTTGCAGCAGAGAATCCTGATGCAATAATTAAGGAACCCGTTGATATTGTGGAAGGCATCAAAAAGGAGCAAGCTGTTAGGGTACTTGAAGTACTTTTTCACATTAACAATTAGAGGGGAGTGTCACTTCTAAAATCTACTAAGTATATTTACATATAGCCTGCTAAACTGATTTCTTGCTAGGTATTATAAATCTAGCACCCTATGTTGGAATTTAACTTAAGGCTCATATATAGAATTGTAGAAAATGAGGGTTGGAAGGGACCTTGGGAGGTCATCTAGTCTAACCTGTGCTCAAAGCAGGACCAGGCCCAACCAGATCATTTCAGCCAGGGCTTTGTCAAGCTGGGCCTTAAAAACTCCAAGGGTGGAGATTCCACCACCTCTCTAGGTAATCTGTTCCAGCGCTTCATCACCCTCCAAGTGAGAGTTTTTCCTAATATCCAACCTAAACCTCCCTTGCTGTAACTTGAGACCATTGCTTCTTGTTTTCTCATCTGCCACCAACTGAGAACAGTCTAGCTCCATCCTCTTTGGAACCATCCTTCAGGTAGTTAAAGGCTGCTATCCAGTCTGGCTCCCCCCCCGCAGACTAAATAAGCCTAGTTCCCTCAGCCTATCTTCGTAAGTCCATATGCCCCAGCCCCTGAACCAGTTTCATTGCTCCCTGTTAGACTCTTTCCAACTTGTCCCCATCCTTTCTATAGTGGGGGGCCCAAAACTGGACAACAGTACTCCAGATGTGGCCTTATCAGTGCAGAATAGAGTGGAATAACTACTTCCTTAGATCTCCTGGCGACACTTCTACTAGTGCAGCCCATATGCTGATGGCCATTTTGGCAGTAAGGGCACTCTAGTGACTCATATCTATCTTACTGTCCACTGTAACCCCCAGGTCCTTCTTTGCAGAGCTGCTGCTTAGCCAGGCTGTAGCAGTGCATAGGATTCTTCTGTCCTAAGTGCAGGACTTTGCACTTGCCCTTGTTGAACCTCTTGAGATTTCCTTTGGCCCAATCCTCCAATTTGTCTAGGTCACTCTGAATCCTAAGCCCTACCTTCTAATGTATCTGCCACACCCCCCAGCTTGGTGTCATCCACGTGCTTGCTGAGGGTGCACTCCATCCCATCTTGCATATTGTTAATGAAGATGTTGAACAAAACTGGTCCCAGGACTCACCCCTGGGGCACTCCACTTGATACTGGCTGCCAACTAGATATTGAGCCATTGACTACTACCCATTGAGCTTGACAATCCTTCCAGCTTTCTGTCCACCATTTATTCAACCCATACTTTCTCAGCTGGTATGCAAGAATATTGTGGGAGATGGTATTAAAAGCCTTGCTAGAAACAAGGTGTATTTTGTCCCCTGCTTTCCCCACATTCACAGAGCCAGTTATCTCATGATAGAAGGCAATCAGGTTGGTCAGGCATGACTTGCCCTTGGTGAATCCATGGTGACTGTTCCTAATTGCCTTCTCCTTCAAGTACTTAGAAATGG